CGTTTTTAAAAAAAAATATTGCTTTGCAGGACGACTATGGACACATGCACATCTGAAAATAGTTTTCTTTCTACAGCGTTTCAAAGTTCATGTTGTCTTAGAATAGTACTAGTAGTAGTGTAGTATTTATTTATGTATATATATTGATACATAAGTATATATATGGCAGGTCAATACAAAGAGAAAAATAAATAAGCAAATACATAAATAAACAAATAAAAGATCACAGGCAAAAACCTCATAGATACAAAGCCATGCTATGACATGCACAAATATTGAATAAATTATAATTAATTATGTTATTTGTCCTTGTGTTCTAAAAATTCATCAGTTGTATACAACCCTTTATCTGATAAAAACGATTTCACTTCATATTTAAAATTTTTTAATGTTCCTATTTTTGTAAAATGCTGAAGCAGCTTATTAAAAAATATTACACAGTTGTAATCAGGTGAGCGCTTGAAGTGACTGGTGCAGTGTTTGAGGATATTTAATGTCGCACTATTTCTGGTATTATATCAAAGTTGAGTCATTTATTTTAACTGCTTGTAGGACCTGAAATGTTACCAAGTGAGGAAAACGTATTAGAAATGTTCTAAATAATGAGTTTCCGATTAGATGGATAGGGCGCAATCGACGCATTTCTTGGCCTGCTCGCTCCCCGGATTTAACGCACTGCGATTTTTTTTCTGTGGGATTACTTGAAAGAGATGGTGTATCAAGATGAAGCAATAAATACTCTGGAAGAACTTCAACAGCACACTGAAAATGATTGTGATTAGTTCGTGGACACAAATGGCGACAATTTTGAACAGTTTGTAAAAACTGTATCCATTTAAATGAATAATGTTTTTTAAGTAATTTTTAATAGGTGTAATGTAAACTAACTCCCTTATTATGCAAGTTTTATGTATGTGATTTTTGGTACATCATCTTTTGGCTAGTTCTACAAGCTGTTGAAATGAATGACTCAACACACAACACTGTGTAGTATTGCCCTAGACTGTCAAACTGGTACATGTTCTTAAAAACATATAAAAGACACTAAAAAAGGTAAGCACAAGATACAGTTAAAATTTTCTTAGATTTATATGTGGTTCTACATGTATCTCCATGTAGAATATTGAAAATTAGTCTTTTTTGTCTCATGCCGTCATATTATAGCTTATGTGTGAGTATGCTAATGTATATATAGTATACCGACATTAGTCATTTCTCGTCTAAGGTGTCTTAAAGTTGTAATAAGGCGTAGAATGTCTTATTAAGTTTTTGGCATACAGTTTCAATATGGTCAGAAAATCCTAGTTTTTTGTCAAAGTAAGTACCCCAGAGCTTTGCGCAGTTCGAAGCCTTAGTACCAGGAAGTATAGCAAAGTCAGTGGATAGATGTTTTTGAATGGCGTAGTTCATCATAACCGTTTTGTCTTCACTTGCTTGTTACGTTGACATCAGTCCCTAAACTCATCTACAACATGGGTTACATTTTGTTGGAGCTCTTGACGATTCTGTCCATGAACTGTTATCGTCGTATCGTCAGCGAACATAGTTACCCTCCTGCGTGTTATGTAAAGCGGCAGCTCATTGACATGTAAAAGAAAGATTAGTGGTCCTAGGACAGAACCCTGTGGCACCCCTAAACCAAGAAGAATTACGTCAATATGAATTAAATATTTACATAATATCAGACTGAAAGTAGATGGCATTTAAGGAAGTGAATCCTCTTCACGAGGCACACAGTGAAGGTCCGAAAACCGTACCAACGAAGATATTGTCAATTCTATCCATGCTAAAACTTTGCATAATAAACGAATGATTGCCGAGTTTCTAGGAATCTCAAATGACCTTGCGTTTCATATCTTTGAAAACGAATTAGGGTGTAGAAAGCTATTGACTGATTTTATGCGTAAGCTTATAATTATGTAAGAGGTAAGAAGTATGAAAAATATCAGGACATATAGAGGACTAGATGCGGACAGTGACCATTTCATGGTGGGAGTAAAATTTAAACCGATATTTCCTGTGCAAAGGAACAGAAAAAATGGAAAAAGAACCGTTATAAACACAAAACGATTAGAAAAACAGGAAGACATAGATAGATATAAGAGAATATTAAATGAAGAGCTAGAGACAGCAAAAATAGAGGAATTGTACAGTGTGGATGAAAAATGGAATTTGATAAAGGAGAAAATGGAAAAGTGTGTGTCAGAATGTGAGCAAAAAAGAGTAAAAGCAAAAATAAATGGTTCGATGAGGAGTGCGAAAGGGAATTAAAAGAGAGAAATAAGTTGCGTTTGTTAGCGATACGTCAGGCGACACAAGCAAATAAACTAAAGCATACCGAACAACGGAAAGCATGTAAGAAACTGCTTAGGGAAAAGAAGAGGAAAGATAAGGAAAGACAGCTTCGTGGAATAAAAATGGGGAGATTCGAAATCTATATCAAGGTGTAAAAAGACGGAAAGACGGTTTCGGAGCAAAGCCAGTATTTATAAAGAGTAACGATGGACAACTCATTGCAGATGAAAAAGAATTGTTAGCAAGATGGAAATACTATTTCGAGGAACTGCAGAATGAAAATTTTCGGGAAGACAACGAGCACGGAATTAACGATTTTAAGGAACAGGAAAGGGTGTTGGATGATAGACCATACCTAGATGATATAAAAAAGATTCTAGGAAGCTTAAAATCAAATAAAAGTGCTGGTATAGATGAAGTCACAGGTGAAATGCTGAAATTCGGAGGTGACAAGGTTATTGAGGTTAATGCACAGTTTGATAGAGGAAATTTGGGAAACAGAAAGAATGCCGCGTGAATGGAGTGAAGCGTTAATAAGCCCAATATTTAAAAAAGGGGATAAAAAAATCTGTGAAAACTATAGAGGGATGCCCTATTGGATGTTGGATATAAAGTGCTAGCGACCTTTTTAAGAGTAGACCTTCTTCGAAAATGTTAGGAAGAATAGGAGAATACCAATGTAGGTTTAGAGCAGGAAGAGCAGTGGTAGACCAAATTTTTACGCTTAGAGAGATCCAGGCTGAGAGTTATCAACATCAGAAAGATACATGTGTAGTATTTATAGACTTAAAAAAAGCAGATGATACAATCCGAAGATAGAATAAAAGATAAAGGAAAATATTCTGAAAAGTTCAAGGTAAAAGTGGGGTTGCGGCAAGGGGATCCGTTGTATAGAAAGCACCAATATTTAGCGTTAGCAGATGACATTCATTGCAATTGTTGCTAGAAGCAAAAGAGAATTGATACAAGTACTAAAAACACTTGAAGAGAAAGCAAAGTAAAAGGGTCTGATAATAAATCAGGAAAAAACTAAATAGATGATGATTTTATGACAGGAGAAAGCCTAAGGGTAAAAACAGGCAGTGGCAAAATATATAATTTTGAAGAGGTCGATCAATTTGTCTATTTGGGATCAACATCCACAAGAAAACCGGACACAAGGGAAGAAATCAAACCAAAACTGGGGAAGGGAAATAGATGTTTATATAGCCTGAACCGTCTCCTGAAAAGCAAGTTGATAAGTAATAAACTAAAAATTATATAAAACAGTAATAGTGTGGGAAAGAAAGGTATTAAGGAATATTTTTGGAGGGAAACAGAACAATGGGGTATGGGAAAGAAGAACAAACGAAGACCTTGCAGATATGTATAAAGAATCAAGTATCACAGAATATATAAGAGCACAAAGGTTGAAACGCTTAGGGCATGTAGAAAGGATAGCAGAAAATAGGATTCCAGAAATGATTGTTAGCAGAAGCATAGGAGGCAAGAAGAGGAGAGGGAGACCGAAGGAAAGAAGGAAGTGCGAAGTAGAAGTTTCTCTGAGAAGCTTGGGTACAAAACTGGAAATTTATGTGTCAAAATAAGAAGAAACGGAAAGAAATAAAGCCTTGGGCCTCTCACGCCTGTAGCATATATATATATATATATGTATATATATATTGTAATTATGGATGAGATCTGCGTTTACCACTGTAGCCCTTATTTACGACTGAACGTAATGATTGGTTCTGGTCAATTCCATTTTTAGAGATACAAAAGCGATATTGATGTTGAGGTGGCTGTGAAAATTATAGAAAAAAGATAAGGTTGACAGAAGAAAAGAAACATCTTCCATCGGAAGAATCACTCTTACAATGTAAAAAACACGTCCATGATTCAAGAAGTACGAGTGATGGAGTCATTACTGTTGTAGACGTGTATTTTGGAAACTTTCAGACAAATCACTCCATAGAAGGCATAGATCAAATAGAAAATCGCTTGAAAAAATGTATTGAACTCCAGGGAGACTATACTGACGGTTAAACGTATTTTCAGAGACCAAATTTTTTTTCACACTAATTGAATCATCTAGCTTTCATAACTAGTTCCAAATATTAGATTAACAGAAACGTTAATTAATTTAATTCTATTGTTTAACCCCAACGATTAAGTAGAGCACTGAATTGATAATTGCTGTGTATTACAAAAAAATCTTGTAGGCAAACATTCTTCGTACAACTACTCTAATCATAGTATATAGAGGAGAGGAACCAAATTTGAGACAGGCGCCTAATTTGAGACAGTGGTGTAACTTTGAATCTATGTAGCGCCATCTTCTAGTAATACCAAAAAGTGTTGAACTAAGACGCAGTAGTATTCTAGATGTGTTTACAGTCTAGTTTTGCACATGGTTTGCTGAGACATCACAACTTGTTGCTTGTTCAGAGTCGAAAATATTTTTAATAGTGCGAGAAAAGTGATTACTAAAAGTGAGGTAAGATACTTAGAACACTTGTCTGATATAAATTTAGTAGCTTACAAATACCTTATTTATTTTCTTTTTCAATATTGTGATTTTATTTTATTACATAACCTAAATATGCTTGTTTGAACTTCTTAACGGAAAATTCCTAATTTGAGATACCCAAGTGTTCCTAATTTGAGACTATCTCAAATAAGGGCCCTGTATCAAGAGATTATCTTTTATTTTTTTTATATTGCAGATGCCACCGAAACACAAAAAGTGGAACCCAAATGACATGATAAAGGCCATCGAAGCTGTAAAGAATAAGGAGATGGGTTATTTGAAAGCCGCAAAAGTTTTTGGAGTACCTAAAGGGACCGTAGAAAGATATGTTAGATCCGGTAAGGATCCAAGAGAACTTGTAGACACACCAATTGGACGCAAGACTATTCTTTCCCCTGAACTTGAAAATCAGTTAGTACAATATGCATTAGCTATGGAAGAGCGATTTTTTGGCTTACGTGCGCGTGATATAAAGCGTTTGGCATTCCAGCTTGCGTTACGAAATAGCATATCTCATCCTTTTAATGGACTTAAAAAATCAGCAGGAAAGAAATGGCTACGACTATTTCTAAAAAGACATCCTCAGCTATCCATGAGAACGCCACAAGGCATGTCAGCTGCTCGTATAAAGTCTTTCACCCCTGAGAAAGTCTCAAGCTTTTTTGACCTATATGAGGCCGAATATAACAAAATTCTAAATCCTTTTCACAGGATATTCAATGTAGACGAAACGGGTATTACTGTGGTTCAACATAAGCACACTAAGGTTCTCTCTCTTAGAGGAAAGAAGCAGATTGCATCACTTACTTCAGCAGAGAGGGGTAAATTGGTCACAGTAATTACTTGTATGAACGCTTCAGGCGTGTATGTACCACCACTGTTAATCTTCCCCAGAAAAAATATGAAAACAGAGCTAATGTTAGGAGCCCCAAATGGAGCAATTGCGGAATGCCATATATCAGGTTGGGTACAGGCAGATATTTTTACCCGATGGTTAGATCACTTTATAAAATTTACAAAGCCTACTGCTTCTGATCCAGTTCTTTTAGTATTAGATGGTCATTATTCTCACACAAGGAACATTGACCTGTTAGATTTAGCAAAACAAAATACTGTTTCCCCATATGCAATTTCTAGCATTTTTTGCAAAGCTTACAATCGAGCTGCTACAATGGAAACCTCTTGTAATGGATTTCGGAAAACAGGACTGGTGCCTATCAACAGAAATATTTTTAGAGATTCCGATTTTAGCGTTCATTGGGTGGAAGATCGGATTGACACCGTAGATCCCTGTGAAGTAGACCATCAAGGTGATGATACAGCACAGCAAATACATGAGAATGCGGCTACTTCTGCTGATTTCACAGGTGATAATCTAGTGAATCAAGATGCAAGTACTTCTATCGCAAACGAAATTGCAAGCATCACTAATTTCGTAGACACTGTAGAATTTAGAGTGCAACAACGAACACCTAGCCCGAATTTAGAACAACAAATACAATTTAAATTAGTCTCTCCAACCGATATTTGTCCTTTGCCCTCATATAAAAAACAAAATACAGTGAGCAGAAGATCAGGAAAGGCAGTAGTCATTACTCACACGCCATATAAGATAGAGTTGCAGGCAAGCTTAGAGAAAAGACAGATGAAAGCAATTCCCAAAAAAAAATTGGATGCTAATTTAAACCAAAATAGCATATCCACACAAAATCAACCCTCCACATCTGGAGCTAATAGGTCAATCAACCAGAACCAGCCGTCTACATCTAGTGCTAAAAGGTCCAAAAGGATTCGGATACCTTCCCACTCCAATTCAAGTTCAGAATCTAGCGGAAGCCTTAAGTTGGATGATTTATCCTCAGACGAAAGCGGTGGAAGCGATGCTGAATGCTTATTTTGTACGGGTCGATTTTCTGAAGATAAGAAGGGCGAAAAATGGGCCTAATGCAGCCATTGTAGTAGATGGGCACATGAAGATTGTGGAGAGATTGCCAATAAAATTTTCATTTGCACTTTCTGTGAAGGGAAGGGGTTTTTCGAATAGTATCTTAAATAAGGGTACCTATCTCAAATTTGGATAACTATCTATCTCAAATTAGGGAACCAGCTGTAAATCTACAAAAATGTTTACTTTTATTTAAATACACTTTTCGCCTGTAAAAGAAAACATTTATAGTTATTTTTTTTAGTTTAGAGTATGCTAGGAGCATAAAATCGCAAGTTTATTTAAATATATAACCTTGTTTAAAACAAAAAGTATTTTATTTTCCCTTCACAAAAAAAGTATCTCAAATTTGGTTCCTCTCCTCTAATGTTACTGCTAAAATCCGAGATGCGGTGACAACTAGGTTCAGCCGTTTCTAACTAGGTGTAGCCACTGGCAGTCGGTTAGTGTTAGGTGTAACTTATGCATTCATGACCAAACCTACTACTAGCCGGCTGCATTCGGTTGAAACTAGGCCCAACCAACTTGATCCCGGCTACATCTAGATCTAGCCAATGCTTAGTGGTTAAAACCACCTAATATAAATGTTTGGTACAGTCATGATGATCTTACCTATGAAGCTCTCTCTGCAGGATTCTTTTCTATAGATGTTGAATGTCAATCTTATTATTCTTGTCGCTTGAACAAATGCTATAGAAATTGAACTCGATTGACCCCAAATTATGATGTGCCTTGATAAATGTGAGTGGACGAGAAAATAATACATTTCTAGCAAAGCTGATTTTGATAAGCAAAACTTAAGCTTTACAATCGCATAATATGATTGGTTGGACTTTTTATACACACTGTCCATGTGTTGTTGCCAATTCAGTTTTGCATGTATTTCTATTTCCGAGAATGTCGTTGTCTTAGATGTTTCATGATTTGCTAGAATATGGGCGTTTGTATAAAAATGTAAAATATCAGACTTTTCAAGGTTTCAAATCAAATAATTTGCTTGGCACTGCCCTTTCATTTCATCTTTAACTTCATTTATAAGGTCATTGCGTGTAGTTCCACTGCCAAGAACTGACGTATCATCCTCAGAGTTTGTGACAAATCCAGAGCGATGCAAATCACATATATATATAGTATGAATACAAGGAGTGCCAAAACTGAGCCTTGCGCTGCTTCAATGTCGATACTGTATATTGCGGATGTTACTTCATTGACTTTTGTTTTGAATTTCCGGTCCTATAGGAAAGACACTACCCAATCTTCTCCTCGAGAAGTCTAATGCCAATTATATCGAAAGCTTTCGATAGGTCAAGCTGTTTATAGATCTGACTTACATACTCATAAGTAGCTGTCTCTATTGAATTTGTCAACATATCCCAAAATTCTTGGATGAATCGCTCTTTCGATTATCTTAGAAAATATTGAAAATAGTGAAATGGGGTGGTGATTATCAACTTGATTAGGATCTCCCTTTTTTTGGAGCGGGAACTATTATCGCAAGCTTCAGGGATTTAGGAAATTCGCCTTGATAGACATGTTGATTAGAGTAGTGAGAGGACCTGCAATTTCATAGATGACGCTTTCCACAGTCTTATTTACGATACTATTGTGAATTTTTATTTGCTACTTGCAGGGTCTACCTACAGGTAGATAATAAGGAACTTACGACTTTATAAATCATATTAAGTCACATACAACACAATACAAGGAAAATATTTCAAACGCAATTATCTCAAAAGTACTTATTTGGACTTAAATCTTGCTGTGAGATTCAGAAGGGTGGTACGTAATAAATGTACCAAAAATCGATCTAAGATTAAACGTACAATGCAGCTCGTTAATAAGATATAGTGTTTGGTTTGAACGTGGTTGTGGATACATCACAGGTTCAATATGCCTTTTGTATTGTTAATTTCGTATTCATAGCCTTCTCCATTCTGGAAGGGTTGCTTTTGTGTCAGCTATTTTACTTTACAGATAAATGTTCTAATTTTAATATTTAGAAAAGTCATTACTCTGTCATGGTGTTTGAAAATATGGCAAGGCGCGTAGACTGAATGCACCCGGCACTAGTCAGAATATTTCCTAATTGAATGTCAATATTTAATGGTGCTACTTTTGGCTTCATTTTAAGAAGAAAACGTTTATGAACGAAGGTTTTAAACGTCTTTTGAGATCATTTATTATTAATATCAGTAATAATCGTAGAGACGTTTTTAATGTACCACTTTTTTTAACTTCCACCAGTGTCGTTCGTGCGGAATTTCATCTGCCTATTTTGGCAGAAATTAATGGCACGCCACTGATTTCTCTTATAATAAAAATTATTATTGGAATTCTAAATCATTTCTCAGCAAATGTGATTGCTTTGACCGTTTTTTGATGATCATAATAATATCGTTATGTGACAATGTAACGATTCACTAAAAATGGACTAAAAAATTCAATAGACTAAATCTGCTGAAAAATAAATACATATTTCCTTTTTTATTTTTTTTTATTTCAAGAAAAGTTAGTGGCGTGCTTCTGATTTATTTCTGAAGACGTTACCATCCCGTATCTCTAAAGCTAAGACGTTTAAGACATACGTTCATAGGGCAAGTTTTCTTTTTAAAATGGACCCGAAAATCGCCGCCTTTAAACATTCAATTAGGATCAGTTTGACTCATATAGAAATATCACTTCAAGCATTGAACTTTAACGCCACGTATCTCATTAACAACCTTAATCTTAGCCATATTGATTGTAACTCCATACCATTAGACTCACTAGCGAATCTAGAGTTGTTTTTAGCGTATTCATTACAGACATAATAAAAGGTTTTTTGTATCTATTTTTTTTAGACAATTGCTCAGTCTAGTATATCCCCCTGAAATTCATGGATCAATTGTGCTATTATTTATAATCTGTTAAGTCCACGCACCCTCAGAGTACCGCACCCACTTATGAATTTTAACGTTTTTGTTACGGTTTTTGATTGCCCAGTTATTGTGTAAATTGCGTTACGCACCATCTCTGTTGTTATTTCCGGAACACTTGTTGATATTATAATAGAAAAGGGCTGGAAAGTGATTACTATTCATAGCAGTAGAATATTTTATAATAATTTAACTTATGTGAACGACGGGACGAAAATATTTCAAACAGTCGAAAGTCGAAGCTTCCCATGAAAGAGGTGATTTCATCACTAATTCTGAGTGCATTCAAGAAGCTGTTCAGCTTATTCTACAGATATTACTCCTCTTACTTATGCCTCACATTGAACCTTATTTCAGTTAGCAGTCAATTTATCTGAACAAATCAGACATTTTTTAGTTGTAACCTAAGAAGCTACACTAACATGGAAGCACAAATTAATGAATGAAATCTAAAATACCTCTGAATTGGTTTTACTAAGATGCTGATAAAAGTGTGCAGGTACATACATTTCTAACGCAAACCAGCTTCCAGAGGTTTCAAGATTAAAGAGCTTTAATTATTTCCACTTTCCCACACGAAATCTATTTAGAAATTGATGCATTAGATTATTTAGGTTTGATTTGGCATGTTCAGTACGGTCTAAGTATCCGTCTGTTTGTCCTCTGTCTGCTCTAAATTGGAAAATATTACAAGAATTTTGCTGAAGATTTTTACCATGCCAGGGAAGGGAATGTTGTACAGGTTTTGAAAATTGGTGCAGTGACAACGTAATTATATAGAGAAAAACGAAAAGTTTCTGAAAGTGTCCTGTCTTTGTTTTTGTGTAATTTTCAAGAATCTAAAAGTTCATTAACATTTCCATAGAGGGATGAAAAGTTTTAAGAAATTCGAAACATCGTAATTCCACGATTTCCGACATTCGGATCACTTTCAGGCGTAGTGAAAAAGTTAGGTGACCAACACTTTTTAAATTGGGTATCTCTTTATTTCACTTATCACAAATGATGCTTAGAATTTTTATACCCAATAATATGGATAAAATTTGAGTATATTTATATTGATGCTTGGGAAGTACTGAATCGATCTATTACTAGTCTTCATTTTTATGTGTGGGTGATTTCATGGCAATGTTTTGTTCCTGCAAACTTCAAGCACGAACGTGCACTAAAGTTTTTCTAGAAAACAGGTTTAGTTAGTCGAAGATTGGAAGCGGAAACTGCCTGTAAGCATAATTTATGTACACGCTGTACAATTGCTAATCCACAATCCATTAGTTCAGGGAAGCACTTACTTTTGATAATTCCATATTTTTTTACTATTTTTTTATACTCCAACTACCATGAAGGCATGAGGCCTAAATACCCATGGGGTACCGTGGGGCTATAGGGGGATACAGGGGAAAGGGGGAACGCCACACGGACTCTGGCGAGGGAACACGTGTGCATGCAACATGAACACATTCTGGCCCCGCCTACGAGATCCGCCGGGTGGTACCTGCGCGTTCGACAATCACAATATCCATAGCAAAGAAAAAAATTTCTCCTGGGACGGGATTCGAACCCGCCCAGCGCACGGCGACAGATCAGGAGACCGAAGGATCTACTACTGCGGCCACCGCTGCTTCCTGGGATGCTACGATATCCTGATGAAGATATACAAGGACCGTAATGGTAATTTAACTTCCGAAAAGAAAACGTCTTTAGGGGTCAAATAATTTTGAAACATTACACAAAATAGCGTACTCTAAAAACGGGTTGAGTCTGGTGTTTGGGAACTATCAATCAAATTTTGCATAACCCAGAAAGTTGAGCTAGTTGCACAGTGATCCTGATTCACTTCTCATCAGTTATTGTTGGTGATTTTCTATTTTCATCACAGTATCCTAACAATTGCTGGCCAGATAAAACATCCATACATGGTATCACGTAGACCAACAATTGCTACCATATTATATAAAATTATGACATGATATTAATTTTATGAACATAAATAAGATTTTTCCAGGAATACCCCATCATTGCAGTCCGGGTCTGGTGGCATCTGCTAAAAGTCACACGCAACAAGTGGATTCATCATTTAAAATTAATCAACATAGATCATTATGAAAAAACCCACAACTAATACCCCTTGTGAATGGTACTAATGACAATTTCCGGATTGTCAACAATTATTGATGTCATACTGGCTAGCCTACGTTACCTCTTCTTGTTAATTTTTAATTGGAGGGTGTGAACTGTAAGCATTCAAATTTTATTTATGACTGAGATGTATGGGAAACGTGATAACAGCTTCCTCATCTAAAAGAAATGTATTTATGGTCATTTTACGTTATTAGTCAGTTAGTAAAGAACAAATACTTTTAAGCTAAATACCTACATATGAGAGAGAGGTTTCTTAAAGTTAGATTGAACTACGGCTTTGGTCTTTCATCCCAAGTCTATGTTATGCCCGCATGCAAGTTTAGTA